GCTTGTTTTCTTCCTGATTCACCTCTGTTTCTCCGGTTCGAGCTAAAGATAGCTCGAGCCCGAACCTGTTCAAATATGCCTCTAAACACACACAGAGTTCTCTGATGCGGTCCAACCGACAGTTTGCAGGGTTATCGGCCGCTTAAAGCTGCCGTAACGGCTTTTTGCCGTAAATCGGGGACGTCCCGTTCGGTTCTTATGCCCCGGAAGTAGCTGGGAGCTAACTAGTTAGCCCCGTGTTAACGCTACTTCTTGCTCCTCACGTATTCATTTACAATGAAATACGTGTAACACTTCGAGTGGCCAACTCGATGAGGTGTTAGCGGAGTTATGTTATATAAAAATATGTGTGTAATAAGGAGCTTTGTGTCCATACACTTAATATATAACCAACCAGCTTATTGTTATTCACCTAACAGGTGTCAAAAACTGGCTTAAGGATCCTTAATAAAATGTCAACAGACAGGGATGCATGCAAATGAAATCCTAAACTGCCTTCACAGATTAGATTTTAAAAATAGCGTTCGCTATTCATAAGGGAGAGAAGAAAGTCACTTATCAAGGGGTGTGACGTCATCACCTTTGACAAGCCGTGAAGTGCTTATTTTTTAGCAGTTTCAATGTTAAGGCCGTATTAAAACCTCAGAATGACAGAATAATAACAAAATCTGCAGTTTTTCGCTATCATCTGAACACCTTCAGTCATAAAAGGTCTTATAACATCATCTTTTTGCCAACATGAGAAAGTAGTATTTTTTTACTTTCACAATGCACAGCAATATATTTTCATGAGAAAAATATTCAAATGACGGGCCACCATTACAGGAAGACTGTATGGGAACCGTATGGGCCACCATTATGTAGGGAAAGTGACTTATGTAAAATAAGTCTCTCTACATCTTCTCATAACAAAGTTATGAGAGAAAATTTTACCAAGGTTTTTCTCATTACTTTAATATTTTGACTGTGCAAAGTGAAGAGTGACACAATAAGGGAACGTCAGACGAGTTCAAGTTGATTCATAAAAGATTATGCAATCATTTATTTACACAAATTGAACAGATCATAAGTTACACTTGATTGTGGGTTTTCCTATAAAAAGCTTCAAAGTTAAATGAGATAAAACCCGCGTCCGAATTTCAATTCACATTAAACTCAGATTACTTATATATAGAACAGTAAAAACGTCAGCTCTGATGTTAAAACTAAACGATTTACTGGCACTTTAACTTAAGATTTCCAAAGAAAGGATAAGAAAAGATGATGAAATTAAAGGTTAGTGTTTCAGCTTTATTTTGGTAAGGGTGTCTGTGACAACCGGATTAGAATGTCCTCTCTGTGCTCAGAACTTCACATGACACGTCACCCCGAACACGTCAGCTTTACCTTGTGATGTCTTCTTAAGGCACCCCTGGTATGAACTGTCTCACCCCGACCATCCAGGAAACTTGTACCAGCTGTCCTTGGAGAGTAGGTGTTTTTCAGGTGACTTTTAGTCTGTTTCAGCCCAGGCCAGAAAGATTCTAGCTGAAGGTTCCGGTCGTCCTCCAAAATAAAAGTTCTCCCCTCGGGAGGTAAAAACACTTTTTATGAGATGTGTGTCTCTGGGTGGACAGAAGCGGCGTGCTTCTGTCCCGGCCGGCAAGTCTACTCGATTCGGCTTCTGAGTCAGACCTGCGGCCCGGCTGTTCCTCCGGAGAGAAAAGCCGGTCTTCCCGTTTCGGCACTCAGGAAGAAGAGTCTCGTGTATCTCCAAGACGTCCGTGTTAGTAAAATATAGGACGCCTTAGATCCGCCCTCAGGTGTTAGAATGAATCAGAGAAAGGAAGGAAGATAAGAGCTTTGCCAGAGGCGCCAGTGCAAGGACACATTCCGTAGTTGGTTTCACAGAATGATAACCTCTCCTTAGCTTTTCTTTCTGATAGACTCTAAGAGAAATCACTGTAAAACATTTWTGARGATTAATTAACATTTCTGTTTAAATAATCAGTCTGAACTTGGTGTCCAGATAAATGTAAGATTTTCTTAAGAAAACTCAAAATTATATTACTGATGTTTCCAGTAAAATAAACAGTGATTTATATAAAAACACAAAAAAACATGGTGATGATTTTCTGTGATTTTATACCATTAATTAATATTTTAGGCATGATAAAAGAATAGAAGTGATTCCATCTTCTTTGTGACATGTCATTATTATGATTAACAAATGCCTAAACATTCTTAGTTAAACAACAAATGAATCACATACAGAATAGATTGTTCTGTTCATCATCTGATTAAGAGAACTGAAGCCCTCTTGTAGGTTGAAATGACCTGTCATGGCCTAAAATAGAGTTCAGTATTCCTGCCTTRGGCCAGGCCTTTCTGAGACCTGCTTTGAGGCAGTAACTCCTGTTTCTTCACTCGAGGTGACTCCTACAGTTGAAAAGAAATGTTATCATATTCTGTTGAGACAACCACAGAATTTTAGCCTTGAGCTGGCGCCTAGCTGGCAAGTCTCTATCTCTCTTCTTTTCTCTGACTTATCTTTAGCCTGAGGGCGGAACCAAAGTCGTCCGCTTCTATTACTAACACGGACATCTTTGAGTGACGGACACACTTCTTCCTGGATGCCAAACTGGGAAGGAATGCTGAGTTTCTCTCCAGAGAAGCCAGCTTGGCTCGTTAGGTCTTGCCCATAAGCCAATTAGGGGGATCTAACGGCCGGGACAGCGGCACGACAGCCGGATGTCCCACCCGAGGCTCCAAGCCTCCCAAGTGTGTTTTTAACTACCGAGGGGAGATTTTATTTTGAAAGAAGTCACCGGATGTACAGCTTGAATCTTTCTAGCTTGGATTGAAACAGACGAAAAGTTACCTGAAATAACACCTTTTCGCTGAGGAACAGTGAACGGGCCGATTAAAAGTTCCCTGACTGATCGGAGGTGAAGCAGTGTCTACCCAGGGTTTGGTTAAGAAGCCAGCACCAGGTAAAAACTGAGCATGTTCTGGGTGACGTGTCATGTGGAAATCTAAGCGCAGAAGGGACGTGCTGATACGGTTGGACCAGACTCTTGATTAAGGAAACTTAGTATAACACTAACCTTACTTTCATCCTTTCCTTTGTCTTTATTTGCCAAAACTTAAGCTGAAAGTGCCGGTAAAATTGTTTAGTTGTAACATCAGAACTGACGTTTTACTGTTCTAAATAAGTAATCTGAGTTTGATGTGAATTAAAATTCGGACGCGAGTTTATCTCATTTAACTTTGTAGCTTGTTATAGGAAAACCACAATCAGGTGTACTTATGATCTGTTCAGTTTGTGTAAATAAATGATTGCATGGTCTTTTATGTATCAACTTGAACTCGTCTGAACGTTCACTTATTGTGTCACTTTTCACTTCGCACAGTCAAGATATTAAAAGTAATGAGAAATACCTTGGTAAAACTTTCCTCATACTTTATGTATGAGAGATGTAGGAAAGGCTTAATTCACCCTAAGCCTACCCCCTACAGTCATGTGGATGGAGGACCTCAGTGACGAGAGGAGAATGTGTAGCGCTGAGCTAATACATACAGTATATATGGTGATAGCATCGGGGCTAACGCTAAAATACAGACAGTATATACAGTGGGGAGAACAAGTATTTGATACACTGTTGATTTTTTATGTTTTCCCACTTGCAAAGCTTATAGA